CACCAAAGAGCATATGGGTAGCACAAATTATACTAAGTGAAATAACACAGACTCAGAAAAAAAAGGACATATGTTCTTCCTCATATATGGATCCTAGCACCAAACCCTGGTAAGTGAGTATGTATCCAGACATAACTACACCTGAGAAAGAAGAACAGTAGGAAACAGGTGTTAATAAGGGAGAAATGGATAAAAATGGGGTTATTTTAAGGGGAGAGTGGAGGGAAGGGTATACAAGGAACCTAGGGGATAAAGGGAAAGAAGGCGCTCAAGAGAGGTGGGACCATAGGAGAAGGGTATTAGTAAGGGAGAAATGGGAAAGATGGGGGCATCTTAAATGGGGAAAACATGGTGGAAATGTTAGACAATGTGAGAAATAAATAATGCCTAGCTAGTTTTAAAAACAGGGGCTGGGGGGGGCGGGACAGATGGCTCAGCAGTTATGAACACTGGTTGTTCTTGCAGAAGACCCAGGATCAAATCCCAGCACCCACATGGCAGCTAACAACCGTCCGTACCTCCAGTCCCAGGGGATCTGACAGCCTCTTCTGACCTCCGCAGGCATTGCATGACACAGGTGCACTTACGTACATGCAGGCAATACACACATACACATAAAATAAAAATAATTAAAAAACCAGAGGGAACCATATCAGTCCAACAACCTACTGACAAATTATACATACAACTAGATCAAAGAATATAATATATGTATAGGCAAGGTTTATCTGAGAACGTTTGGTCTGGAGTTGGGGGGAAGAAAATAATCAAATACATTGTATGAAATTCTCAGTTAATTTAAAAAGAAAAATTTAATATAAAAATGTAAGATCCACCCCAGCTCTGTGTCAGTTCCCACCAGAACATGAGCTTCATGAGAAAGGAGATTTCTTCATCCCCTGCTGTAGCTCAGAACCTGGAATAGTGCCTTGCCCAGAGTAGGTGCTCAAGAAAAACTACAAAATGCATAAATGGACTTATTTAACCCATATAATGGCACACAGGATGGAAAGAAGGATTATCAGTAACCTATAATCACAATAAAAAATTGTCCAAACATGGCACAAAAATGTACTTCATGTAAATTTAAGTGATCAAAATTATGCCAAATTTTAAAAATACATTCACCCTTTTCTTATATTTTTCCCAACAAAAAGAATAAATCACTGCCCTTCCTTTCACATCATTACTAACAATAATATGACATCAAATGTGCTAATCATTAAAGCGCACTACATAAATTGATGGGATCAGCTAGCAGGTTGTCACCATTATTGCTGCAAAGGAGCTACTGAAAGCTAGTGAAAATCTGCCAAATGGAGGCAAGGAGTAGGGGTGTGGTGGAACATGGTCAGCAAGATGCTCAAGGGGGAAACTGAGAGCATGGCCCAGAAGACAGGGCAAGAGGAGGCTGACACCAGAGGAAAGAATTTCAAGTTCAGAGAGATGCAGGATGGGGAGTCAGACTGGGGTCAGAGGTCACATTCTCAGCAACTCAACTGGACACATAAACTTTTGCTCTCTTGTCCCTGAGATGCTCAGGCTCTGCACTTTGCTACACTGTCGCCCATGGGATCATGGAAGTGGAGGGGAATACTTTTTCTTAGACACTCTACGTAATGTTTAATCAGGGTTATTATGCAAAGCAATTGATCTACCTGGTCCCCTCACTGTGGAAACCTTATTCTAAACCAATTAACTAACTCTTGAAATTTGAATGCCTGAGAAATAGGACATCTTCCTTTGCCAAGGGTGTTAGGCAAGGGAGACGGCTAACTTCTGGGAGAGGCTGGGTGCTGCCTCTGTTATACTGGAATAAATCACTCTTGGAAAATTCATTTGGTCCCAAGGTTTGCCGACAGGGAAGAACATGCTGGCCACCACCACAGCTGGGCCTGTATCCACAAGAGGGCAGTGATGTATACAGTCAGAACCCATGATCACACCCAGGCCTCAGTCACTGAGATCAGACGAAGGGACAGAAGAAAAGTCTAATATACAGGGCCAGAGAGAGAAAGACACACACACACACACACACACACACACACACGTAACACAGGGGAGGGGTCAGGAATATGGACTCATGTAATCCCCCAGAGACAAACTATAGGACCAGACTCCCCCAGTCACAGGCTCCCTGTGGAGCTCCCGGCACTGGACACCAAGACCACCCAGACCCAGAGTATGAGGTTCCACAGGTGGGGTTCAGGCTTCAGGCTTCAGTGATTTTCAAGCTCCTCAGGGTTAAGAAGTCTTGCATAATCATTGCTGCCTCTCAACACACAGAATGCAAAAGAGGAAAAATGAGTCCTTTATATTTTAATAGGTCTCATGACACTCTGTGGAATAAAAACCAATAAAACACACAATATTATGAGAAAATGAAGGGGAGATAGTACGCAAGTTGAGGCCCAGCAAACACATGTCCTACTCTAATTGGGTAGCTTAGGGTCTGTAATAAAGGAATACAAAAGTACAGTCAGGATGTAGACAGACCACGAGGATCAGTACCTGTGGAGATGGTGACCACCGAGGCCAAACCCAGAAGAGGCAGTGGTCACGGAAAGACCCATGGGAAGAGGAAGCTGGCGGGAGCTGTGACTTCAGCAGAGTGGTTGAATACACCAAACCCATTCTCCCCAGGTCTCTGAGTTCCAGAAACCAAAAGGAAGGCAGCCATGAGGTAGTCCCAGAGGTTGCCTTCCTAAGCCACAGAACAGGGTGGCAAAGGACAGAAAGTGGATCCTGAGGTACAAGCAATAACTATCAAGCATTGGTCCATTCAGCAGAAGTTGGATCAGCCAGGCATGGGGGCACATGCCTTCAGTCCTAGCACTCCGGAGACAGAGGCACACGAATCTCTGTGAGTGTGAGGCCAGAGGGAGACTACAGGGAGGCTCTGCCTCAGAAAGACCCCCTCCCCCCCCAAAAAAAATGATGCTGTGTGCAGAAGATACTACTGCACGTAAAACAAGTTCACACCTTGATGGGTAGAAGCCAGGCATTTAATAGTTGTGCCAATATTTAAACCCAGCACTAGAGAAACTGAGGTGGGAAGGTCATGAGCTTGAGGCCAGCCTGAACTACAAAATGAATTCAAGAACAGTCTGAGCTATATAGCTAGGGCTAAGGCTAGATCTCAGTGGTAAACCAATACCTAGCATGCCCAAGGCCCTCAGATTAATCCCTACCACTACAAAATAATTGTACATAAATAAATCAATAATCACCATCATGCATGAGAAATAGAAGGTCTTTGCTGTCTGAACTTGTAAGAAAATAATTTTAACTAGAAAAAGTAATTTCTAAACATTTTAAACTTCTTGAGTTGTTTCCATATAACAATGAACAGCTTTCCTTAGACTTGGATGGAGGGTTTCATTAAGTGACGATATGAAAGGATTGATACTTTTTTGGTGGAAACTAGAATCTCTACTCTGAAGTGCAGGGGAAAAATAAGTTCCTTCTATATATAATAAAATTTCAGCTTTGTCCAGGAAGGTTCATACCTAGTTGTATCTTCTTGCCCTTAACTCAAATAAGAAATGCAGCAAAGCCAGTCCTGGTCCCAGCTCTTCCATTCTTCACTGGGGACCCTGGCTGGGTCCCCACCCTTCTCTGGGCTTCAGCTTCCCCAATTTTTAGAACCTTAAAAAAAAAAAAAGGCTCTTAACATGGGAGCCCACCAGGTAACAGGTTCAGAAGCTCTTCTCTTGTTAAACCATTCTAGGCTGTATTCTGTGAAATATTGGTTCCATGAGATGGTAGTACAAGCATGTGGGGGAAAGCAGAGTCCAGGTCAAACACTGGGCCAGCAAAGTTCAAGAGATTTTGTCACCAAAATTGCCAGGGCCTTGACTGTGCTAGCATGCTGCCAAATTAATATATTAATATACACAGTTGGGGAAATGGTGATGTAGACAACAGTTGGCTTTTTTTTTTTTTTTTTTTTTTTTTGGTCTTTTTGAGACAGGGTCTCCCTGTAGCCCCAGCTGTCCTGGAACTCACTATGTATACCAGGCTGGCCTTGAACCCACAGAGATCTGCCTGCCTCTGCCTCCCAAGTGCTGGGACTACAGGCGTGCGCCACCACGCCCGGCAACAGTTGGCATTTTTTAACTTATTTATATTTACATGTGTGAACGTTTTGCCTGCATATAAGTGTACTCATGCGTACAATGCCTGTGGAGGCCAGAAGAAGATGTTGGATTCTCTAGAACTAGAGTTATGGATCTGCCATGTGCATGCTGGGAACCAAACCTGCCAGTGCTCTTAACCACTGAGCCATCTTTCCAGGACCCCTCCCCCTGCCTTTTTTTTAGACAAGAGTCAAATCATGTAACACAGGCTGGTCTCTTTTCAATCCTCCTGCTTCAGCTTGCCAAGAACTGGGATGAAAGGTATGCACTACCATGCCTGGCTTCAGTATGTTTTTAACCATAAATCCAGAAATTTATATCATGCATGACCCAAAACACATATGCAGTTAACTAGGCAATTATTTATCTTTAGCGCAGTCTAATGCTTCGTCTAGATCATTTGTGTGTGTGTGATATCTGTGTGCACAGATAAATGTGTGTGTGGAGGCCAGACATTGATACCAAGTGTTTTCCTCTATCACTCTCCCCTTTATTTTTGAGACAGAGTCTCTCACCGAAGGGGCTGTCTTTTTGGCTAGGCTGTCTGGCCAGAAAAGCCCCCACCCTCCCTCCATCGCAGCCCCCACAAAACTGGGGTTACATATGCAGGCCTTTATGCCTGTCTATTAAGAGGGCCTGGGAATCCAAACTCAGCCCTCCCAGTTGGGCAACAAAGCCCTCTACCCACTGAGCCATCTCCTCAGACCCACTTCATATTTTAAATGCTTATGGGGGCGGGGGGAAGACTGTGTGTGTCTCACCAGATCATGGTGCAAAATGTTTTGCCCACTGTAGGCTACAGTAAAAAATGTTTGGAGTTGGTAACTTGGTAAGTATAAGCTCTAAGACCACACAGGTGTAATGTGCCTGGGGGTCTCCAAGACACAGATTAACTGGTTCCTTCTGGGGCTGAAACCGGAGCCTCTGCGCCTCTCTTCGCAGCTGACCGTGCACAGGGGCCAAGGGAAGAGAACTGGCACTGCATGTCTGGGAGGTGTCCTGGGAACAAAGAGGGAGTCTGTCCCAGGGCCTCCTTCACAGGCGCTAAATTCATCCAGCATCGCCTTCCCGCAGGCAGCCCCGCGGGCCCCGTGGGCCTGCCAGCCACTGCCACAAGGAGTTAGTGTCAGATCTGGGCAGCTCTCCCTGCCTGATGCGGTGGGCATTCAGGTCGTCTGTGAGAATCGGAAACGGAGGCTTCTGTCTCTTGAAAAACAACATCCTCCCCCACCCCCCACGTGCTCCGTGCCCCCAGGAGGACCCAGGAAGCCAAGAGCTCTCCAGATGTATGTAGGAGTTCTCTCCCCCTTCCCTTCCTCTCACCGCTCCTTATTTCTTATAGGGATTCTGGAAGGACTGGCTTCCCAGACTCCACGTCCCCCAAGCAACCAGAAGAGCAAGGGAAGGGCACATAAACTGCTGCGTCTGGGTCCCTTACACAGCGATCCTGTCACATCCTCGTTTTATTTTGTAGTGGTTTTTATTTTCTGAAGTGTGGTGGGGGGGTAGGGGGAGTGGAGGTGTGTGGCAGTCAGAGGCCAACTCTATGGAATGAGTCCAGACTCCCCTTCCATCTTTGGGTTCTGGGAAACAAGCTCAAGTCATCATGTTTGCACAGTGACTGCTTTACCCATTCAGCCATCTTATGTGCTGGCCTCCAGATCCAAGTTTTAATACAGATAAGAAAAATGAAACTTAGGAAGACTGTCACTCAAGTCTACCTAGTTCCAAATTCAAGATCTAAACCCAGGGCTAAAGAGAGTTAGAGTACTGGTCGCTCTTTTAGAAGACCAGAGTTCGGTTGGCATGAGGCTAACAACCGTTTGAAACTCCAGTTCCAGGGGACCTGACAGGCTTTCTTTTGACCTCCCTTCCTGACCTCCCTGGGCATTGCAGAACATGAGTGAACTTACACAGATGCAAGCAACACACTCATACATATAAAATAAAAGCAATAAATATTTTTTTAAGACCTACTAGACCATTAGGGATTAAGGGGAAACGGTAGATAGAAGTTAAATAAGTCAAGGGCAGCCTGGGCTTGGGCAAAATGGCCAAGAAAGAGAATCAAGGGGTGGGTGTGTGCGCAGCTGAATGTGAGCTGGATCAGTGTGAGTCTAAACTGAAGCTTAGGAGGTGAGATCACCTGTTTACGCCATGCAGACTCAGTGGCCATCACTGCTCTTCGAAGTTAATGGACTTCACTTGCTGGAGGAGGTTTAATTGCATGGCAAAGCTGCCTCGGTACCTCCCCCAACGCACACAGCCTACCCCCACCCCAGCCTCTCACCAGAGTGCTTCCTTTGTTTGCTAAAGCCACACACTTCATATTGTGCATTCTGCATTTGAACAGATACACAATACCATTAGCTACAGTTAGAGTACCACATCAAATTGTTTCCCTGCCTTAAAAATGCCTTTTATTCCATCTGTTAATCCTTTATTCCCTTCTCCCATCCCCCAAGCCCTGGAAGCCACCAAGCCTTTTCCTGTCTCCATAGTTTTGTCTTTTCCAGTGTTCCATATAGTTGGGCTCAAGTAGCATGTAGCCTTTGTACATTACCCACACTGCATTTGTATAATCGTATGTATGGGGCCAAGGAGAGGTCCCAAACCTGACAAACAGTTTGATTCCCAGGACTCACATGATGGAAGGAGAGAACTGACTTCTGCAAGCTCTCCTCCGACCTCTACATGCATGCTATGGCACAGGCACTCACACACACACACACACACACACACACACACACACACTACATACATACATACATACATACACACACAACAAACAAAATTTTTAATGTATAAAAAATGGCTGTAGCAGGAAAGGGGCTATTCTACAGTGACTTAGTACCTCTCCCTTCTGCTGTCAGACTATTGGATCAATGGACCCCAAAGCCCACCACTTACTTTACTATTCTCTCATGCGAGCGTTGCAGTTTTCAGCTCAGATTTCCACATGGTTCTTCTTTATATCTCATCATTGCTCACTGAGACTGTGTTTTCATTTGTTTCAAGTACGGTCTTAATTCCTTGTTGAAGCATTTTCATCATAGCTGCAGATCATGTTCCTGTCAGTGAGGGTTGGCATTTACTGCTTTTAGCTTGAGATCTGGGTTGGTAAAGTGAGTGACTCTCAGGTGTCACAGATGAACACTGGTCCAGGATGGCAAGACTAGGCAAGGCTATGAACGGAGGTGGGGGTGGGAACATATGTAGAAGCTGTTTGGATTTTTAAAGTTTTGTTTATTTTTATGTGTATGAGTGTTTTGCCTGTATGTATATAAGTGCATCCATATAATGCAGTGCCTGAAAGGGCCAGAAGAGGGCATCAGATTCACTGCAACTGGAGTTACAGGGGGTTCAGCATGTGGGTGCTGAATACCAAATCCCCATCTTCTGCCAAAATGGCCAGTTCCAAATCAGATGCCCTCTTCAGACCTCCAAGGGCTCCAGCATGCAAGTGGTACACATATACATACTCTCACATATACACATAAATTTTTTTTTCAAAAGTATCACGAAGTTTTATTTCTTGTGGTATACTCTAGCCATTCAAACAATAATTAACACCATCAACTGGGCTATACAAGAGGAAATCACTCATTGGGGAGAGCAATTTGATACCAAATACACCATTTCCTTCTAACATATTTTAGATTCTTCATAGTAGTAAAAGTTGGCCATTATATACAGAGAAGACATCTGAGCAGGTAGATAGCCATAGCATCCCACATTCTCCACAAGTATCAGCCACAGGGATTTTCTGTAGTGATAAAAATTGATTGCATCTGTGCAGACCCAGTAGGTTACCGCTAGCCCACTGTGGCTACTGAGCATGTGAAATGTGGCTATTACAACAGAACTAAAATTTAATCCTATTTAACTTACATTTAAATTGCCATAAGTGATTAGTAGGTGCCTTATTGGACATGGCAGCTTTCAACAGTGGATTATATCCTGTCTAGAAGTAGGAGGAAGACAGTCCATGGTCAAGAGTAAGCACTGTCAGGTACAAAATTTCAAATGCAAGTCAAAGAATCTCTAGCTTCATGCCAATAATTTAACCATCAAATCTCTTCAACCACAAAATATGGAATTGTGGCTTAGCTGAGAACAATGGACTGTATGACCGTTTTCTAGATTTTGTATGATTCCTGTATTCCTAATCAGCAGCACAGTTGTGTCTTTTTTTCTTTTTCTTTCTTCCTTTTGCCTATTAGTTGCTCTTTAATCTTTATGATCAGTTTGATAATGGTTGTTTTAACCTAACATACTAGTATACATAAAACTTAGTAAAGATTTAAACACTGCTAATAAATAATATTATTCAATCTCTAGATTAATGGACTTGACTATCTTAGTCACATATGAAAGTCACATAATAACATTAGGTTTGTTTTTGTCCATTAAGTCAGCCTAAACAGAGAAATCAAGAGGCAGCAAAACCCACCGCTTCAGTCAGATGTGGCGGCACATGCCTGTAATCCAAGCACTTGGGAGGTGGAAGGAGGAGGGTAAGGAATTCAAGGCCAGCCTGGACTACACGAGATCCAGTCTCAAAAATACAAAACAAAACAACAACAAAAAAAATAAACTTTAAAAAAATGAAAATCAAAAGAATGAAAAGAAAAAAATACAAAACGTACTTGAGGAAGAATTCAAAACATTTTATTTTTTCTTTTTGAATCTGTCTTATTTTAATTTCCAGCTCTATCCATTTTTCTGTATCTATTTTATTTTTATTAAATTTTGTTGTATTTCATACAAAATATCTCAAACAATCTAAATCATCTTTATAGCCCCGACCCCACCAGCACCCTCCCATAGCCCCCCAACTGGAAGCCATGTACTCTGTCCGAGGTGTTAAGGCCCTCTGTGTCAAGTCAGAATCTCCAGACTTTCCCCAGTGCAAACCCATCCACTTGCAGTCTAGTCAGATCCCTCTCATCTATCTATCCAAACACCTGCCATTTTTTTAACAGAGCATAGGGTGGGGTTTATTTACAGAGGAGCAGGCGCTCCCCACCCCCACCCCCCCCATTTACAGCTGCACTGGAAAGTCCACACTCAAATATAGATCCTGTGACTTCCCGACAGCTGCAGAAAATGGTGAGAGAGGGGCCTCCTGGCGTTCTGGCTTATCTACCCTTAGCCCCTCCCCCACATGTAGCTAAGGTTGACTGATTGGGTGGGAGGGTAACTGACTCCCCCCTCGACTCCTTGATGAGCGTGGGAAGAAGGTGTGACTATAGCTTGCTGACCGTAGTGGTCGAAGTACACTTCCTCCAACTCTTACATTCCTTCCGCCAACCTCTTCCTCAAAAGTCCTTGACCTTGAAGGAGGTGGTAGGTGTGTGATAATCTTCCTCCTGTTGTGGCAAGGCACTGAACTTTTGGGTCTCTGAATCATCAGTTTTCATGGCCTGTTGGCCAGTTTCAGTGGGATTCTATCTACTATAAAAACACAAAGAGCAAGAAGCAAGAACACCTAAACAGTGGTTACTATAACAAATTAGCCTATGGGTGTAAACACAAATACTTGAACTGTACTTTAGCAGCTGCATCACATCCATCTAACAAAACAATTGCAGTGGCTTCTCATTGGGACCTATATTCTCCCCTGCTACAGGAGGTCTACAGTACCAGATGTGTGTTCCATCCCTAGGAGCGGGAATTATATCTAATCGTAAATTTGCTGGTTGTACATACACTAGACACCCCACTATTGCACCAGCAGGAGCATCTTGTTTGGTATGTTGATAGTGCAACACCTGGGATCTGTCACTGAGCAGAATTATAGGGACCAATGCTCCCCCAGTCATCTGCATATCACTTTTCGGCACCATGAAAGCCACTCATCTACTGGCAGGGAGTTTCCAGCTTAGCCAAAGCTTGATTTCTCCCTCTCCTGCACTCACATCAAGCAGTGTCTTCAGCAATAGGGTCCCTCCATCCACTTCGGGTGTATAACCAACATTATTGGCAATGGCGTTTTTGCTTTGGGGACCTCCAGGGCCCCTCAGGCCAACAGCTTATGGGGGGCACCTACCTCTGGCACTGGGATTTTTATTTAATAACTGTATTGCTTCTGGAAGGAAGCATACACACCCCATAGGGTGTGTTCTGTGCTTAAGGTGTTTTTGTGTTTTGTTTTGTTTTTTAACTGTGTATCTGGAGAATTTTTTCCCATAGCTTCTTGTATAGTTCTCCTTCACCCCTCCACTTTAACTACCCCCTTTTTACATATTTCTCCCTAGTAACACCTTTATCCTACTAGTCTTCTTTCT